GTTATCTACATCTACATATACTATTTATATTATACATCTAACATGTATATTCTACATGTACCATTTAGATTCTACATCTCCTCCGCTAGGGGTTGCGCGTGCACTGAACGCGGAAGAGTGTGCGAGCGATATGGAAAATGAGTTGTGTTGTCGTTGTCAGCAGGGGGCAGGGGAAGCAACTGAAAATTAATTTCTTCATTCTGGCTATAATTATGATCCGATCTAGTTAAGATTCGGCAATCTGGTAGATATGGGCATTCTCTACGATACTAGTATCGTATCTTTAAAAATGTGCGTGTCACAGATTTTCGTCCTTTCTGACGGCGGAAGGAGGAGTAGGCGAAATTTTGAAATACACTTGTAGCAGTGTGATATCACATGAGTCTGGAAACCAAATTTGGTTGTCCTAGCTTTTATAGTCTCTGAGATCTAGGCGCTCATCGAGACAGACAGACAGACAGAAAGACAGACAGACAGACAGACAGATAGACGGACAGACAGACATGGCTATATCGACTCAGCTATTGATGCTGATCAAGAATATATGTATATACTTTATGGGGTAAGAAACGTTTCCTTCTCTGCGTTACACACATCCACTTTTACCACAAATCTAATATACCCCTTAACTCTTTTTTGAGAACGGGTATAATTAACGTGTTTTATTTCCATACATATACACATACCTAAATTTATTTCCATACATACATACATTTATTTCCAGAGTTGGCCGCAATATATCCATATTGCCGACTATATATGTACATAAAAATACTACACCCCGCATAAAATACCAAATTCCGTATTTAAATAACGCTTCACCCTACTCCGCGCAAGTGCCATATTTAATATAAAATTCGCGATTTCGTGCAATTCATGCACTCCAGCCACTTTTCTCGATCGCTACCCTAACTCCAACATTCTCCAGTTTCCAAATAAATTACTCGCGGCCAAGGCACGGCGCACTCATAGTAATTATTTGGCAATTTACACTGCCAATTGGCAAATTGTTGTTTCGGTCTTTTGTTGTTGTTTTTGTTCCTTGCATTAGAGGTGGCCCAATCCAAGAACTATCGGCATCATTTCCTTGCATCCATCCGAATAGGACAATTAAATAAATCAAATTAATTAATTTATCAATAAGATCAATAATTAAATTAATAAATTATCTGAAAACTTCCACGCTTTTTCAACGTTTTTTCAAAAAAATGTATTTTTATAAAAAGTCATTGTTTATTTTTTGTGTGGTGTCCCTGTCACTTCCGTCCGCCTTCCATCTGCCAATAACCCGGTTCTGTTCATGATTGCGTCAAAGGGGTAAACGGAGGAGCACCGCACTAACAATATTTTCAAAATATTGCCACCACCAGTGTGACCGTGTCTCTCCTCAGCTCGGCTCAATATAAGGTCACTCATTGTTTGGGACCTCTCACCTACAGGTGATCTCAAACAATCCGAGTCGATCTGATTATTGCATTCCTGCTAGCTTAAGTCCTTTTTCTCTGCCAGCCGTCCGTAACTGGGTTATCATTTCGAAAGGAGTTGGTGGCCTGACGGTTTTTTCGGGTCACTTCGACTAAGACCAGTCTCCTGTCTCTCCAAGACTTCCAAGTCCGATTCTCTGTGCGTGTGTGAGTTCGGAATATGCCAACAGGTCACACGGACGGCAACCAGCTTTTGCCTGTGACCTCTTCCAACCGGTAACGCACCTCGTCCGCCATCGGAACTACGCCGACACAGAAAATCAAGGCACCCTCACTCCGAGAGCAGCCAGTAGCAGCCCTGTGGCAAGGACCAAATCGGTTATTTTTCTGTCTCCTGTCACTCTTAAGGTTCCAGCTCTGACCGAACAAGATCCTTCGTCAGTAGCCACGTCAGCTCTCGCCACTGCATCACAATGGCTCAATCCGCCACCTCAGTCGCTCGGACCAAATTGACCGCCGCTATTGGCCGACAGTCGCACCTGGCAGAGCGCATCACCGCCTCTCTGTCAAAGGTCCGCCGAGGCCAAATCCTCAGCATGTGGACGGACGTCGGGGCCGAGTACAAGGCCTGCTCCGCGGTGATGACTGACGAGGATCCAGAAATCTAAGCGGACATCCGTGAAACATACGAAGAATGCTATGTGGTATTTGAGCAGTGCTCTCAGTGACCTCAATGCTCAGCTGGCCACATCCACAGTCCTTCCTCCTGCACAGCCAGTCGAACAGGGCGGCTGTCGACTGCCTCCCGTCAACATTGAGGTTTTCTCAGGGCATAACGTCCGCTGGCCCACATTCCGGGATCTGTTCACTGCAATCGTGATTAATAATCCAAAATTATCTCCGGTGGAGAAATTGTACTACCTCACCGAGAAGACCAGGGGCGATCAAAAGGCCATCGTAGAAAGGGGGGACCCTCACCAATGACGGTTTCGAGTCCACATGGTTGGCTCTCCGCAGCCGATATGAAAATAATCGGCTTCTGGTGACCAACCAAATTAACATCCTCCTCTTTTTGCCGCGCGTAACTTCCGAGTGCAGTCGTGCCTTGAAGGATCTTCAAGGTACGATGCAAGGAGTCCTAAATGCGCTAGCGGTCTCCAACGTCTGTACGGACCACTGGGATAGTCTGCTTGTGACCATCTGCGCTTCCAAATTGCCGAAGTTGAGCCGGGCGTTATGGGAAGCGTCCATAACGGACAAAAAGGAGGTGCCGCCCTGGAAGGAAATCGATTTCTTCCTCACTCAGCGCTATCTGAAGATCGAGGCTATTGAGAGCGACCCTTTCACCTCACGAGGGGCTACGAATCCGCCACCATCCAAAGACGGCCAAAATCCACCCACCTCTCGAAACCACTCCAATCCATTCCGTTCGCAAGGCAGTCCGGTGCCAAACAAGGTTCTCTCTTTCAAGAACCAAGTGAGTCTGAAGAGGAATACGTGTGACCTCTGTTCCAAAGAGAATCACCCGATCCGACTATGTCCGCGCATTCTCAACATGTCCGCTGATGCACGTTCTAGTTGCACTAAGATAAAACAGATGTGCCTAAATTGCTTCGCATGAGGCCATCAGCTTCGCGACTGCTCAAGCAGCCACAATTGTTCCCCTTGTGGAGCCAGGCATCACACGCTTCTGCATCGTGCCGCTCCTTCATCCAGTATGGCGGCTTCAACATCCGCCTAAGCCCCCAGCTCGTACGAATCTCAGCCCAACGTACAGAGCTATTTCGCCTCCGGCACAAGATCTGTCCTTCCAGGCACGGCAATTATTAATTTTTGCCACCTTGGGAAAAATTTCCGCGCCCGCGCTCGGATTTATTACGTTCATTACGGAACGCCATTTCAACACGATTCAATTGCCACTCCAACGTATTCAGACACAGATCTCCAGCCTCAATCAGACAGTATCCGCTCAGTCCGATAAACTCTGTCAGTTTTCCATTCGCTCCCCAACGAGGCCGGTTTTACAATTAAACGCCACAGCCTATGTTATCCCGGAATTGGCAAAGAACCTTCCGTTGCATCCTATCTCGCCAAGTTTATTGAAAGATTCATTCTTCGAGAGCTCACCAATCGATGTCCTGATTGGAGCCGATATCCTACTTGGGCTTACAGCCCAAGATATGTGGCTCTCTTCTCGGCCAACCATTTTTGGTTGGGTGCTCACTGGTCCCGTGTCCAATACGGCGAGCCATCAAGTTGCATCCTTTTATTATCAAATTGCCAGAGTAGCTTCCAATGGCCCAAATATGCCAGTCATGCGTTCAAAGCTCACTTCTAATGCTTCTTCGACTTTTTCATTTCGCCCTAGCCTTCCACATACAGACATGGCTTCTCGGTCCCGTTTCGACAGCACCGTAGAGAGCAGACGTTACCGAGGTACTAAGTCCTACCAATGCCGAGTCTGCTCTGAAATCCATCCTCTACGGAAGTGCCGCCGCTTTCTCCGCCTGGATTCCTAAAGGAGGCTCCAAGCTGTCCTCTACTTCATCTACTGCACCGATTGCCTGGCTCACCGACACTCCGGTCAGGATTGCCGAAGCGGTGATCGGTGTAAGGTGTGTAACCGGAGCCACCACACGTTACTTCACCTTCCCGAGTTTCGGCACCCATCTGGCTCCTCTGCGGCACCGCCGCCTTCATCTTCAGCATACAGCGCCGATGTGCACCCTCGTCTTCCTGTGAGCCGCCCCGTTATAGAAATCTCGGATCCATCAGCAACCTCCTTGCTTCAACATCGGAGCATATAGGGTCTTTGCAATCCTGCAAGGGGGGGAGAATGTTCAGAGTGAGGACGGCGCTGGCGGGGCAACAGCTCTGTGGGCATTCCAGCCACACCACTGTTAGCATTCCAGCTACGCAAGTTGTTGCCTTCGCTCTCGCTCTCACGCTTATGAGCGTTTTTCCCCCGGTGACGCGTTCTCGCACCACGCTTACGCTCCCGCTCTCGCTGCCGACAGCCACCGGCACTTGCTGAGCGAAACCCCCACTGCAATTCGCACTTACAACCCCACGCAAACGGCCGGCTTCTTTGCACGCGTCTAACGAATACACCTGAAATATACTGAAGAAACCCTACCGTCTTTATTTTGGGACTTTAAACTGGGGCTTAAACAGATACTTTGCAGCGCAAAGTTCTCATATGGACATCGGAACCGTTTTTAAAATTATACGATACGAATGTGGTTGTTTTTTGCTCAAACTACTGCTAATTTGTTTAATGATAATGAACAGGTTTAATAACAAATATAGCTATGCTTCTCTTTGTTCTGACATGGTCCTGCGCTTAACCGAAAGGGTTAACATAACATAAAAGGGTTAACATAAATGCTAGAAATGGTTTGTTACCTCTGTTTGAAATTTTTAAGCGATACCATTTGGTAGAACTTCAACTAACCGCAAATGTTGTCGCAATTTGTACAAAAAGTAAGCGAACGTTTAAGGTAAATAAAGGTTTACTGAAACTTAACATGTATAATGTGAAATTATTTCGATCAGGTTTTATTGTTCTAGTCCCACCTCAGCGATAGATTGTCCAGGGCTGGGTCGAAGCGCCATCTATCGGCTTTCCAAGGAGGCTCTATGGTGTAGGACAGTATCGGTGAGAGCGAGATTCCGTTGCTGAAGAAAAGAAGGAACAAGATAGGATAAGTTAGGCTTATTGGTAAAGGCGCGCATGCATGAGAGGGATTAAATAGGAGTGAAAAAAAATCCAAAAACGTGGACAGAATAATTTCTGGTCATCCGAAGCGGATGCACAGACGCACAAAGTGTTAGGAGAGTCAGAGTCGAGGCCGAGTGGGGTTAAGTCCGATTGACGGAACATATTGAAAGTGAGTGGTGAAAATTTGAATTTAAACAAAAAGTAATCCGCGGTGCATTTCTCATAGCCTGGCCCAGAAGATTGCCCAGCGCAGCCCGAGGGAGATAAATTCTGGAGAGGATTGACTGCAGTGTGCCCGACGAGCCGACATTAGGAACCAAAACTTGAGTCCGTTCCGTGTCTGCTGTGCGTGTGCCGTGTATGGAGCCGAAATTTGTGGGGGTGCTGGCATAACCAGATCAGACACTCGATCCGTGTAGAGTGACCAAGGACCGTGCCGCAGACGCAGTGGTGCACGTAGTCCAAGCCTGTGGACTCTGCAGGAGCCACCTCTCACATTTACACATTACACATACACATTTACATTGCACATACATACTGGCAGACCGACGATCGCAACAGTTTTTTTTGGAATCACTCTCACTTGCAAGCAGCTACATTATTTATTCTGTCTATCGTGTTTTCCTATATTATGTTATTTATTTATTTGTTATTTATTACTAGTAGTTTAAGTAAACAGTAACGTAAACAAACCCGATTTGTAAAACGCCAAACATTGCCCGACAGAGACACAAAACAAAAAAACATATGGTAGGATTAACCCTTGTGCGCGGCGCGGGTTCCCACAAGCCCACCGTTTTGGTTGAATATTGTTTTGTCATTTTTGTTGTCGATGGCCTTGTTTATTCCTGCACCTATGACCCTTAACAAAAGCTCTTGGTAGGTTAGTCTCGGGAGGGCCCAAAGAAAGTTGATGCATATCCCAATTTAAATCCGCATCGAGACGCCCATAACGCACATAGGTCTATTCCCATATATCAGTTGGTATTTATTTGAGTTTTGTCGTTAAGTGAGTTGGTAGTTTTTTTTGTTATTATGTTATTTATTTAAATTATCATTGTTTATTATCTAGGGAAGAAAAATTATAATTAGATGTATTTGTCGGAATATAGTATATATTAAATTAAGGAATATTGAAAGGATGAAGGCCTAAATTAATTTAGAGGGAGGACGCGTGGCGTAAGCCATGTATTAGACCAGCCGCAGCCGTTCCAGCAGAGGGTGGCCAAATGAACGTTGTGTTTGACCACAGGTAGGGTGGGCGCGCGAAGTGGAAACACCTAGCCTTCACCCACTTGACAGCCGTCTATTCGTTTGGTTCTTTTTGTTTGTTTCTCAGTCTATTGTTGGTTCTTGGTCTGATTTGATGTCCCGAGAAGTCGTAATCTCAAATCTTGCTTACATTTGGCGGGCAAAGGGAACTACCCATCCCTGGGGTCGAGAGCTAGCCGGCGTTGCCCCACGACCCGCAAGCCGTATGTTACATTATCACCAACAACCTATAGGAACTTATAGGAAAGTAACATTCGTAACGTTTTAAGTGTGTTTTAGGGGTGCATTTAATTAATCAAAGTGCTGGATCAATAGTGCGCGATTTCGAATCAGCGTAAAAATCGGTGTGTGGCACCGCGGAATCGAATTGAGGATAAATTCAAGCGGAAGTGATTTCTGTGGTACCCTGTTTATATTTGTACTTTAAGCTTTTGTTGGATTTAGTAGTAGAACTCACATATGATCACAACCTTCTCGGCTTCAGTGTTTTTAAAACAGATATCCATTCATATATCTCCTCCTCGTCATCATCTCCATTCATATCCAGAAACACGATTAGTTTGTGCAATAAAATATATTGGTGCTGAATCACATTCAAAACCATTGCAATATTATCCAAATTTTGTGCATCAGCTGTTTTTCATGGATGGTGCCAGTGTGAACAGGAGTTTTACATCTGTCAAAAATTCCCACCGTTCCCCGGGGATGAAATCAGTGTGCAGAGGCTACTAGACGGTGTAAAATCAGTTCGATGAATACCATTAATACCACATTACTAGGAATTTTTCTGTCTCAGAATTGTTCCAAATTCGACGTTTACTCATAGACTCTAACTTATTTCGTTGTCTTAACAAACAAACATAGTTACATATCCAGGTGATTTTTCTTTTAAGTATAAAAAAATAGCTTAATTTAATGGCAGACGATTTGCAAAACTACAAATTGCAGTTACAGCAGGTAGGTATTTTGCAATATATGTACAAATTCAGTAATAACTTCATCGTTGTGGATCAAAAACAAACAAATGCATATAATAAGCCAGCAAAACTCATTCGGATCATAAAAGATAGAATTGTGATTTATACACATGTGGTTCAGTTTTGCCAGTGAAAGTTTCGATTACAATAGTTGCAAGAAAATAGTTTACACTTTTGAGGGACTTCGTGGCTCACTTGCGAAAGGCTCGTATTAAGGGAATTGTTAATGTTTATTTGTTTCTACGTTGGGTTGCATATGGTACCTAAACCTTCTACAGTTTTGTCGTCGAACCTAGCACTTGAAACAGTTTGACTGCGGAGCGGGTTTTCGTTGTTGAGCAAGTTGATTTCTGAAGACACGGCGACAACCTCTAATGATTCCTACGACTTAGTTAAGTAAGATGATTGATATGGAAGATGAGTTACTGGAAGTACTAGGACGAGGCAGATTCTGATACTGAATTTCATTGAACAAATGCATCTACTTATATAGCTAACAGTTGTGTTCCTATTGTATGGGAAACGGAGCGACCAGGCTCCCTGTGATGTATGTATTTTAAGATAGGATGCACTTACCCAAATGTACAAATGTCAAATCCGCTAGTCCCACCATGTAAAATATGTACATACAGTAAGCACAAAAATTAATCGGACACCCTTGTAACTCTAGTTTCAACACCTAAGTTCCATGAAGCATGTTTGGAGAAATTTGGAAAAAAGATACGGAACCACAAAATTTCATCGAAAGAATCCTTGAAAATGGCTCTGCCTATTTAGTGGGTCAATATTAATTCATAGGGCACTAATACCTTTGGGAAAAATTGTGCCGAGGATTTTTAGACATCATAAAGAATGAATGCCGCAAAAAAAAAATTATATTTTATTTTTTAGCTGTAAGATTCAAATATTACTTGAAGAACTTATCGTCTGTCCAAATAATTTATGTGCGTAAAAAACTTGTTTGACTTTTTTGCTTTAGTTCATTTTTATATGGATACCATAGTAGACATTTTAGTATTTTTTGGTGAACGGATAGTAAAAGTGTTCTTTGATATAAAATTACCTCTTTCTGTTTAACTTTAAACGTACGGTTACGCCAAGTTAGAGGTGTTTAAACTAGAGTGGTTTTCCGAAAAATATGTGAGCTTACTGTATGTAGATGTCACAGTATTTAAGATTTTCATTATGGGTAGTATCGACATTAAGTGACATATGTACAGCTGTGTTCAAGGAAATAGTAGTGCCGCACCTCATCACTTTCAAAACACTTTTTGAGACACTTCCAGATATCCAAATTGAACATATCATACCTTTTTAAATAGACTGGACTGTTAGAATTGGAAAACAGAAGAAATATCCATACATTTGAATTCCATCTTCTTGTTTTACATGACATAAGCCGAATACCCAAGAAATTTGCTGTTCAATGAAATAGTAGTGTTTTTTAGAATATTGAAAAAAACAACGGAACTCAAATAAAACCATATATTTCATGTTCCTCAGGTTTCTTGAGCTTAAATATTTAGTTTTTAATCAATTTGGTTTTCATTGCGAACTTTCACGGGCCGGACATGTGTCATTAGTTTCTTGCCAACTTTTAAATAGGATTTGAGCCAATAATCATTGAACAACTTGCTAAAACTTTGCTCTGGTTGACGGATTTGCAATTGCAATAATGTATACTAGGCTGGGCCAAAATTTGACTAAAAAATTAATTTTTTGTTTTTTCAAGGGGACACCCAATTATATTCTTTGTTATTCAATAAAATTATAACATTTTTTTTTCAAATTTTTAGTTTAATGTTTGGGGATTGCTACCACGAAAAAAAAAAAAAAATTTTTCGGTAAATAAACGTAAAAAAAAAAATTGAATTCGTCGGTTTTTGCAAAAAATTTTGATACGTAGAAACTAGTTCATATTGAAAATTTTGATTTTTTTAGTTTCTGTTAAAAAATTAAAAATTAGTGAATCTCAAGCGGTTTAGCTGAGGTTGATATATTTAGTTAACTAGTTTGCAAAAACTTGTGCAGGTTTCTTACTGCCAAGAACTGATTAATGACGATATGGTATCAATATATACAGTTGCGAAAAAAATAATAGCACCAATACATTTTGTTTTTGATAAAAAAAATGCGCTTACTCTTGCGATTTTTTTAAATTTAAATTTTTTTATATTGCTTGGTATTCCCCATAAACAAAAACAGTGCGTCCGCTCTTTAAATTTGTGTCTATATATTTTTTTTGGGATTTAAAAACAAAAACCCCCTGAAAATAGCAAAAACAAAAATAGCACCATTAGCCATTTTTTTGGTGAATCACCTGTATTTCGCGGAATCGCCTTTGCAGAATGCACCTGCTCATTAGTTTTCACTAAGAACTCATTGTTTCTATCATAAAAGTTAAAAGTAAAATTACAAAAGGACGTGGAAAGCACTGCACTGCGGAGAAGCGCGATCTTATCAAAAAATTGATATTGGATGGAAAAACTTACAGAGAAGTTAGTCGATTGGTAGGATGCTCCAATAAAATGATTAAAAACCTCTTAAACTATGAAGAAAAGACTGAAACACGCGGGCGAAAGCGATCTATGACCCCTCTTCATGTCAAAAAACTGATTCGTCAGAGCAAGAGGGATCCCTTCAAGCCTGCTACTGAGCTTAAAAAAGAGCTTAAAATAAATGCGACGGACTAAACAGTTCGCAGATATCTTAGGAAACATAACCTTAAAGCCTGCAGCCCAAGAAAGGTACCACTTTTAAATGCGACACATATAATTAAGCGCATAAAGTTCATAAAGGCATAAAGATCATGCAAATTGGACATCCCAAAATTGGAGAAATATTTTATGGTCGGATGAGTCCAAAGTGGTTATGTTTGGTGGAAAGGGATCTCGATCATACGTTAGACGTCCAAAGAATACTGAATACAAACCCCAGTACACCACAAAAACTATTAAGCGTGGAGGGTGTAGTGTAATGGTATGGGCCTGCTTCTCCTACTATGGAGTAGGTCCAATACATTGGACAAAACCCATCATGGATCAGCACGTGTACGTGAATATCATGGAGACTGTAATGCTACCCTTTGCAGAATATGAAGTGCCGCTCGTATGGTCTTTCAACAGGACAATAACCCCAAACACACCAGCAAGAAAGCAAAGGAATGGTTCAGGGCACGTTTTGTGAACGTTTTGGAGTGGCCTGCACAGTCGCCTGACCTGAATCCCATCGAAAATCTGTGGTCCGACGTCAAGAAGGCAGTTGCTGCTTCCAAGCCAACCACTATCCGATCACTTTGGGAAGAAATTTAAGAGTCCTGGTCCAAAATTTCCCTAAAACGATGCCAGGACTTAGTTGAGTCCATGCCAAGACGCTGCGCAGCTGTTATTGACAATAAAGGACACTGTACTAAATATTAAATTATTCATATAGATTTAGTATTAATAGTTATAAATGGTTAACTAATGAATTCGTTACAAATTGCTTATTTTTTTAATTGTAAATTTATTTTTGAAAAGTGGTGCTATTTTTTTTTTCGCATAGTTTTATGAATTTTAATAAAGTTCCTTAAATATCTTAAAAAGTTACAAAAAAATATGATTTTTTTGTATTCTCAGGTTTCTTAGAGTCTCCCATGTGAGTTTGGCAATTATTTAAAAATTGCTTGTGGGGGTGGTGCTATTATTTTTTTCACAGCTGTATGCAATAGATTTCACCAATTACACTACTCGACAAAGTCGAACTTTTTATTTCCTCATGGATCCAAACCGACTTTTTCTGATAGATATGGGGCTTTAAAATTTTTAAAAGAATTATGGTTTTTTTTCTTTGCCAGAAATTTTTTTTGAAGAATTTTTGAAGTCTGGTATTTTTTTTAAAGCTTTTTTCAGAGGTAGCGCTTGTTTTTTTTACATAGCTCTAGTATCTAACGTCTGGTTGTAAAGAACTTTGCTATTTTGAAAAGATAACTGAAACAGCTAGAAGTTGAGCCCAAACACTTTATGATTTTAGCTTACCGTCTGGGAAATATAAAGCATTGAAATGCAAAAATTATGATTTTTGTGCGGTATTTTTTACGAAATTTTTACTTTAAAAACTCAGGAAAAGTCGAAAAAACGCGATCAGGTACCAAATGTACAACCCTTTTTCGTTTGCTTTGTTCCCAATTGGCAGTTGGGCCCGCAACCATCGAAAAGGTATTTTTTGTTAATTTTTTCCATATTTTAGGTTTGGTTAACGAATTTTAGCTCCAAAGTCTCTCCATAGATTTTAATGAGCGATACCTTAAACGACGCCAAATTAATGCACCTATACACAAAAAAATAGAGGACACAGGATATAATTTTTTTTCGACTTTTCCTGAGGTTTTAAAGTCAAAATTTCGTAAAAAATACCGCACAAAAATCCTCATTTTTGCATTTCAATGCTTTATATTTCCCAGACGGTAAGCTGAAATCACAAAGTGTTTGAGCTTCTAGCTGTTTCAATTATCTTTTCAAAATAGCAAAGTTCTTTATAACCAGACGTAAGATACTAGAGTTATGTGAAACGAGAAGGAACGTGTGAGTCGCTTCTGGGGACGCGACTCTACTTATACCCGTACTCAGTCAGTATATACATTTTTGATCTTATGATTATTTAGAATTTTAGAAAAAAAAAAAAATTTTACATTTTACATTTTTTTGCTACATCTGATATCTATATCTACAATGTATATTCTACATCTAACATGTAGATTGTACAATGTACATGTTCCATTTAGATTCTACATCTCCTCCGCTAGGGGTTGCTCGCGCACTGAACGCGGCAGAGTGTGCGAGCGAGAAGGAAAATGAGTTGCGTTGTCGTTTGCCGGAGGGTGGGCAGAGGAAACAACTGAAAATTAATTTCTTTCTATAATTATGATCCGATCTGATTCAGATTCGGCAATCTGGTAGATATGGGCATTCTCTACGATACTTGTATCGTATCTTTAAAAATGTGCGTGTCACAGATTTTCGTCCTTTCTGACGGCGGAAGGAGGCGTAGGCGAAATTTTGAAATACACTTGTAGCAGTGTGATATCACATGAGTCTGGAAACAAAATTTGGTTCCTCTAGCTTTTATAGTCTCTGAGATCCAGGCGTCAAACAAGACGGACAGACAGACATGGCTCTATCGACTCGGCTATTGATGCTGATCAAGAATATATATACTTTATGGGGTCGGAAACGTTTCCTTCTCTGCGTTACACACATCCACTTTTACCACAAATCTAATATACCCCTTAACTCTTTTTTGAGTACGGGTATAAAAAACAAGCGCTACCTCTGAAAAAAAGTTACAAAAAAAATACCAGTTTTCAAAAATTCTTTAAAAAAAGTTCTGCCATAGAAAAAAAAAAATATCATCAAACCATTTCTAAGCCATATATCTTTAAGAAAAAGTTCGTTTTGTTCCTTAAGGAAAAATCGTGTTGACTAGTGTTATCCAACTCATTCAGCAACAACTTTTTTTTTTGAATTTTCTTGATTAAAATTTTTTGTAAAATTCGGTAGCAACCTCTAAAAAATAAAAAATAAAATCATGTAAATCCAAGGTATCCAAGGTAACAAAACTAGGGGGTGTCCCGTTTGAATTTCGAAAACAATATTTTTTGGCCCAGCCTAATGTATATGGTATTTTCCCATAAGATTTCGATGACAAAACGTCAATATTTTCCGGAGAAACCCAATTCCTAGCGAGCTTTTGTGAGTGTTTCAGGTCATTGTCCTGTTTAAACATCATTTTAAATGGCGTTTTCCAACTGCAATATGAATGTAATGTATTCTTAAGTATGCATACATGTAAGTATGTAAGTATACATACACAGTTTTTCTCAATACCATACTATACTCAAACGCCACGCTAGAAAGTACTAGCTCATATGATTTGGTCCCCATAAGGCTCAGCCTAGCATGCCCAATGCTTTTTTTAGGTTATTTTAGGTGGTAATCGGATTTCTGTGAATGCCAAACATAATCTTTTGAGTCTATCTTACCAAATAGTACAACTTTAC